TTGAAAATCTGAGTTTGCAAATGATCCTTTGATTTAATAGAATAATAAAGGAAGAGCTTTTTGTATAAAAACGTAGAAACGTTTTATAATATGATTTTTATATCTGGAGGTAGTTGAAGTGAAAAATGAAATGAAATTGAAATGAAATTTATTTTATTTACTCCCAACTGAGACACAATTATCCAACATTTGTTTAGTGAAACTTTTATAGATAAAAGGTAGACAGGAACCTTAAACTAGATCAGAGATTTGCATTATGAGCCCCCTGGCCCTCCACAGCTGGACACAGTTGGGAGGCTGGAGAGTGGAAAGTGACAACTCGGCTTTCTTATTACCTTTATATCGGGCCACGCTGTTGACAGAAACTAGTTAATCATAATCCTGTATAGCAACAAGAAACACTATACAATAAATGGTCCGAGTAAAATCAAACGTCGGAAGGTAATGAAATCTATAAATAATGCAAACATCAGAGTGATGTAATCTCCCATTGTTGGTCTACCTGCAGTTTTGTTTGAACCAACCTATACATGGACGGTGCAGCGTCTGTAATGAATACTAGCACACAAGAGTATGCAAATTAAATTAGAATAATTGAATTATAAAGAACCGCATTGATAAGCCTTTAGTTATATGGTATGATTCAAATCTGTATGTATAATATGTGATGTATCTATGTTATAATTTAAAATATTACACATATAAAAATGTCTGATTTAGTTTCTGTTAGGCTAACTGCGATATTCAGAGAAATTTAATGATTACTTAAACTATTGCTTAGGAATGATATTGTTACGAAAACAATTGCTAAGGATTGGGTTAAACTGTCAAACACCAAGCGGTCACCGGTGACCGCGACCTATTGTTCTTTAATTGTGTCTATAAAACCGGTACTCGACGAGTTAATAGTCATTCAATGACTCTGAATACGGTGGTTACTGCCAGATAAATAATTTAAAGTTTTTTCATTATGGTATAGGTGTGATCCAAACCTTTATGTATAATGTGTGATGATAGTGATTTTAGTATTTTTTTAACGGGGGAAAATTATCGGATGTCTGCTGCCGCCTGGATGAGGCGGGAGGGAGTGTCAGTCCCTTACTGACTAAAAACCACCCCGTTCCTTCTCCTGCACGGCGAACCGGAGCCCCGGTTACCTGTTAGGTTCTCCGCGACAGTGATTTTAGTGTTATATTGTTCTCACACAATCGAAACAACAAAACTATGTAACTAGAGAATTGTAAAAAAGTAGCCTATGGAGTTTCTTGCTCGTTCTTCTCCATAGGAATCTACACCTTGGAATGAGCAAATAGCTTCACTTTTAATTTATTTTTGTTGACGTTCAAAAGTACCTTTCTGGTCTAATTGAAAGGAATGATTTTGACTTTGACTTTGAATGTGATACAATCTCTTATATAATGTTGCCCTACACTAGGATTTTTCCTCTGTCGTGGGTACGTTTACAAACATACAATTTCACAAACACATGATACCCAACCCCGTAACAACATTTTGTGGATCACACAAAATTATAACATTATGTTTTCTTAATCTCCAAATACTCTAGTATGTAATTATATTTTGGATATATCTTGTCTATAATGTCTCTAATATAATTTAGTACATACATTTTTGGTCTGTTCAACTATAGCTGTCTGTTCTGAAATAAGATTGGAATATTTAAATTAAATGTTTTATTGATCACTTTGGAGGGTAATTCAGTACAGGGTGCCTAGGAACAAATACATAAGTTTATTAATGTTTTAAAATATCTTACAGTGGTAAATTAATTGCAAAATAAATCCTAAAAACATAAATACCTACGTAACAGATTCATTCTTTTAAGTATTTTCAAATAATTATATCCTAAAAGTGGGTAGGTAAGCAACATAGTGTTATACAACATAATACAAGAACATATTAGTAAAACAGGATTATTTAAAGGATAAAAGGTATTTATACAATTGGGTTGGAGATTGAGAATTGTAGTAGAAAATAATTATAAGAATGATAGTTTACCCATATTATTTTTCTAATAGATATTTAGGCATAACAAAGCCGCCAAGGAACAAAAGCGATCGGCTGAGTAAATGGAATTCGAGTTTATTATTACGAACAATACTATTCATTCCCTTGACGTAAATAGGTCTAAGCTACACCCACGAGGAGCAGAACAAAGAAAATACTTTCTGAGAAAATATAGCCTGAACCCAGCTAAGTTGGTATCACTGGTATTATTAGACCTTGTAGATAATAGGGCATCATTTTATTTCGTACTATTTATGATATATGCATAAAATATAAATACCAGTTCATTTTTTAATAAATGAATAAAAATATGCATCAAAATTGAAGGTACTCAGTAATACACAAAAATAATCTGGAATCCAATCTCCTATTAAACTGCGAGCGCCATCTATTGATAAGTTTATGTAACTTTACCATGTTGTGTCATGAATGTTAATGTATATGGCTATGGGAGACTGGGTTACGTTGTAGTATGTGTGTTTGTCAATAGATGGCAGTAAACACATAAATTAATATTATCGTCGTCGTTTTGAAGATTTTTAGGCGATACGTACATAAACATAAAATATTATTAATTATGTATTTGGTAATTAATATACTTCACTTATGCAGTGTTTTACAAGGTTATTATTAAGATACACTATTTTGTACTAATTGTGTTCAGCCATATAATACTACAACATAAACCGGTTAGAGTCGCAGCCTCGCAGCAGGACTACGCGGCTGACTACGGCGTAGCGTTGTAGCGTAGTTCTACGGCGTAGCACTGTGGCGTAGTTATAGAGCGCAGCTCTGCTAATTTCGTATTTTAATAATTATTTTTTGGTCGCTTTTGTTTCAGTTAATCTGAGTTAATAGTCAATAATAAAATAAAATATTTATTTCGTAGATTTTTTATTTATTTACAAAATTGGCAATATAAACATTTACTATACTTTAAATTACAATAATATCACTTAATTTGTATCAGCCAAGGAAAACCTATATTAGCCAAGGATACAATAGGGAAAAATGTCCTGCAACACGTGTCGCTAGCGACGTTGGGTGGAGTAGCGTGACATTGCCGGACTTTATTTATTTATTTATATATGATTTATTATAAACATTTAAGTAACTTAAAAACAAACAATTCAAGTTAATATGTGTACAAAGGGCGGTCTTATCACACAATGGTGATTTCTTCCAGACAACCTTTGGATGGAAATATTAATAAGAAACCAGATATCTACCCCATATCTGGTCATTAAGTGTACAATAAAAAAAAGACAAAATAAAAATACCTACAATACAACCTACAATACAACCTACAATATAATATACTAGCAATATATAAAAAAGAAATACATAAATCTTATAATATTATATAAAGCGGAAGAATCTTATACTATTATATAAAGAGGAAGAGTTTGATTTTTTGTTTGTTTGTTTGAACGCGCTAATCTCCGTAACTACAAGTCTAATTTGAATAATTCTTTTTGTGTTGGATAGTGCATTTATCGAGGATGGCTTTAGGCTATAAAACGTCACGCTACGACGTATAGAAGCTGAGCAGAGCGTGTGAAACCGCACAGAAGTAGCTAGTAATATATAAAAATACAATAAAAGTGCGTGTGTGTATGTGTGTGTGTATATATACACACAGACACTAAGTCATATGACTTTGTTCATGCCTGGCAACATCAACGTTGCTGTGTGGGTCGTTGCGGCGAATGTATGTCCATAAGGCGCACGTTGTCGCTTTCTAATATGTCAGGTGAAATCGGCAGGCTTCGCTTGACAAGTCGCCGATACATATCGTGGAACATTTATACCCTAGTGTATCCTTGGCCGTAGAATCTTTTCGTCCAATTCAAAATAACATATTTATTTACCGTCTCTTAATGGTTATATTTTTTAACATTTACGTAATACTTACCCACTTAGTACATTTTTGAATATTCTTGAGTGTATATAGCAAGTGTCGTATTTAATATTATATAATCTCATAGTTTACACCAGAAACAAACAAGCAAAATATTTCATTGTTTTCATTAAAACGAACTCGTTTTTATGAGAATAAAATTACTTTAACCCGTAATTTAATCCAGGTGAACAAATTAGATGTGTGTCATAAAATAATTAATAGAATTAATAGTTCTTTAAAATTATACTGTAGTGTAATATATGCAATTTCTTTATAGTCATAAAACCGCTTCATAATTCTATAACCCTTAATAAAATTATTAACTATAGCTATACAAGACTCTTTGACCATAGCCTAGCTTTGCTGACAGACAGACGGATGGACAATTCAAACATCAAAAATTGAATTAATTGAAAATGCCTAAGCATTAATTTAAATAGGCTGTGATTTTGATTATGACATAGTTCCATCGATTCTTTCAAAATCTTATAAATGATTTTTTTGTCATAATTTTTATTTTAAACTGTCAAACACCAAGCGGTCACCGGTGACCGCGACCTATAGTTCTTTAATTGTGTCTATAAAACCGGTACTCGACGAGTTAATGTGTATAATGATAATGAGTAAATTCATTCAGAAAAATGTGGCTTCAGACGGTCGTTTTCAATGGTTTGCAGGCCACAACTGTGCGCTTTTTAAGAAGCTTTCTGCCTCGCACAGCAAAAAAAAGCAGCAAGTAGATCTGCAAGTAAAATCTGTCGTCGGCGGTATTTTCGAACCGATACGACCTTCAAGAAAACAGTGTATTCCTTTTTAAAAGGCCGGCAACGCACCACTGGCTCCTCTGGTGTTGCGGATGTCCGCTTACCATCAGGTGATCCGTCAACTCGTTTGCCTCCTATACCATAAAAAAATAATATTGCAAAAATATAAAGAATGAAAATATATGTATTAAAGTAATTTGATGGATGCTTAACGTTCAGGTTTTTGCATAAGATGGTAATTCCAATTAGTTCTATGATTTTTATACAAGTAATGGAAGAACATAAGTTTAAGTATTTAAGTTATTTTATATCTTAGAAGAGTATTGTATTGTGCCTGGTAAGTTCTCGCTTAAATACCCGCTGCCTGTCGGCACAGTGCTCATACTGGTGGTTGTACTCATAGGATCAGGGTTCGATTCTAGATCCGACATCTTTTTGACTCTGTAAAAAGAAAGAGGCTATTAGAATTTGATTTTTGCAGTACATCATCTCATACAGTACGATTGGTTATTTCACTTGCATTTGTTTACAAATTGAACCTCGTTCATTACTATTGATATTTTTTGTGGAACGCATAATGTAACTGGCTAAAAGTAGAAGTAACGTTTATTTATTACTAGCTTTTGCCCGCGACTTCGTACGCGCAATCCCATTTTCCCCCCGTTCCCGTTCGTGATTTTCGTTAAAAAGTAAAAAAAAGTATTGTATAAAAAGTATCCTATGTCCGTTTCCTGGTTCTAAGCTACCTCCCTGCCAAATTTTATCTAAATCGATTAAGGCGTTCTTGAGTTATAAATGGTGTAACTAACACGACTTTCTTTTATATATTACTAGCTTCTGCCCGCGACTTCGTACGCGCAATCCCGATATTTCCCGTTGCCGTTCTTGATTTTCGGTAAAAAGTAAAAAAAAAGAATTGGGTAAAAAGTATCCTATGTCCGTCTCCTAGTTCTAAGCTACCTCCCCACCAATTTTCATCCAAATCGATTAAGCCATTCTTGAGTTATAAATAGTGTAACTAACACGACTTTCTTTTATATATATAGATATAGATAATAGGATAGATGACTAATTTTTATTTTAATTTCCGTCTGGTAGAATATTTAAAAACATTAGACACGTATTTTTAATATTTTTACGAAAAAGAATAGTTTCGAAGATATATTGATTTGAAATGTCGCGTTACGTCACTTTTATGTACATTTTATACGTAGAAATGACGTTTTAGCCCCACTCCTAAACTTTGATTCGTTATATCTAAATATCATTTTATTATGCAACAAAATAAAAATACGTGGCTAATATGTTTTCATTACCTAGGTGACGGACTAATTACATACATTTTTAAATTTCATATCCTGTCATCATCCGAATTATCCACTTCTTTTGGGTTAGCTATTGACTGCAACAATAAATCTGATAAGTTATTCATTAAGAAACTTACTTAGATTTCAAGCACAAAGCCATTAATTTGTTGGCAGGAGCTTCAGCTAGTAAAAAGATGACAAGCGCGGCCAGGCACCCGAAGAATATCACTCCTATTGTTGCATTCAGCTGAAAACAAGAACTTTATGTTTTAAGGTGGATTGTAACCTGCTAACATGTGTCACAAGTTCATGAGCTCTTGAGCACGACTTAATTATTGTTCTCCCCCTTGCTCCTAATGCATATAAGATTATTATTGTTTGTAGAAAACCTCTAATAAAATTATTTACTTTAGCTATACAAGACTCTTTGACCATAGCATAGCCTAGCTTCACTAACAGACAGACGGATGGACAATTCAAACTTCAAAAATTGAATTAATTGAAAGTGACCAATTAATAAGAAGGGACCAATTAATACGTCAAAAGCTGCGCCGGTCAGTTATGACCGAAACAATGTTAGTGCAGGGTTAATTTGTCATCAATGGTTCTCAGTAGGTAGTAAAATACAGACCTTAGGACTTACATAATAACTTTTACTAAGGTTTTCTTACTTCAAGTCAAGTAAAACATATCATTTAATGATAAGTTGGGTAGAATAGGGTAGATGACCACTTTTTATTTTAATGTCCGTCTGGTTATTATTTATATTATTTTAAATCATTAGACACGTATTTTCATTTTCTTACAGAAACGAATACTTTCGACGATATATTGATTTGAAATGTCGCGTGACGTTACTTCTATCTACATTTTATACGTAGAAATGACGTTTTAACCCCCACTCCTTGACTTTGATTCGTTTTATCTAAGTATTTTTGTTATACGAGAAAATAAAAAAATACGTGACTACTATTTTTTCATTACCTAATTCACGGACTATATATATTTTAAATTTTCATACCCTGTCATCATCCTCATCATCCATTTTAAAGCTTTACTAAAATTTTTCTTTTAATGGGACTAATATATATTATTTTTAAAGAATTTCTGCCTGGATCATAGGATACTTACAATTTCAAAGTAATCATTATGCTGAGGGTTTCTAGTAATTAAGACATTCCTTGCAATTAGTATTGCATGTGTCAGGAACAGGCCGTAGGAGAGTCTGCTCAGAGGCACCCAGGGGTACCAGCTCAGGAATGACTTTATAAATGCTGAAATGGTAAAAATAGGTATTTAATAATAAAGACGCAAGTCTATTATTCATAATAGATACGTTTTAAACTTTATGACCTTAGAATAAAGTTGAAAATATGTAGCAAATGACAGTTGAAAAGGTGGCTTATGTGCTGGCGTGTGCAGGACAAGAAGTCTTAAACTGTCAAACACCAAGCGGTCACCGGTAACCGCAACCTATTGTTCTTTAATTGTGTCTATAAATACGGTACTCGACGAGTTAATTTAAATCTCGAAATTGTGTAAAAGATAATTAAAAAGTTCTCAAGTTTATGTGTCCGGTGTGCAGGCTTGTCCTTTACTACATGAGACTGTGGGAGACTAGGGGGCTTACTTTTGAATCCAAATCCGATAGATCGATATTGACATTGCAGAATTTCGTACTCATGAATAAAGCACTAGCGCCCTTTGCATCCGTATTGCGTGGATATTAAAGGAACTAAGTGGTATCGGGTTTGGCTTTATATTCCGTACTATGAATGCTGTTTTAACAGCCACGATTGGGGTAGTATAAATGTTAACATTGAGTAATTACTGAGATTGTTTTTCTGTATAGTAAATTTATTTTCTGTATTCTTAATTTGAAATTGGGATTGTAGGTATTTCAAGAGTAAGCGGCCTGATAAACAGCAATCCGCTAACACCACCGCCGCAAACTAGCGACATCTAACAGTACTTACGGACATGTCCAAGCGAGCAGCACAGTACTAACAACCCTACACCGAGAGCCCAGGCAGGTCTATTTAGTGCTGCATACACGGCGCCCTCTAACGGGTGGTAACTGCGCCACAGGTAGGAACTACCCAACAACATCACCAGTAACATCAGTGTCAAGGCAGCGAGGGCACCAAGAACTGACCATTTCTGAAAAACGTAATTATGTTTTATAATTAATATTGAAACTACTTAAATTCATTCATTTTGATTAAAACTACAGACATTAAGACGCCCACTTCTCATGCATGACGGTGCGGTTTCGAAACCTACCAACAGCAAGTACCAATGTGACTTTTTCCGAGTTATATGTACTGTCTAAGATTATTTGGATACCACTGGGCCTATAATTTCTAATTATAACTTTGAAATCGCCAACACGCAATGAGCAAGCGTGGTGATTAATGTTCAAACCTTCTCCGTGTGAAAAGAGGCTTTGCTCAGCAGTTCTAGGCACTAGCACTTATAGGATAACCAGTCTATGATGTTATGATGATTTAGTAAGTAGCAAAGCAAGGTCTTAGCTCACCTGTCTCATCTTATCCAGGTTGCCTTTACTGCTGTACTTGACGAACACATAACCAATGTAGAAACCGACCAGGTATGAGGCGAACCGTGTGTGACTCGGGATGTAAGTCAACTTGAAGTCTTTGCTGCCGCGAGGGTTCAATATGAAACTAAAGAAAATATAATATAAAATTAGTGCTCAATTTGTAGACTAAGCACACTGATCCATCCATCCGATCGTTAAAGTAAAGTAAAATGGTGAATGTTTTAGTTAGAATTCATAAGTATTTAAATCAAGGACTGAAGAAGATTTAAGGAAACATTTTGGTTGAAAATGAACTGACTTTCGCATTTCTGAGTATCACCTTTTTATGTTTGAATAGTACCTAAACATCTATAATAACTATCTAGTAGACTAATAAGTCCATAAGCATATTTCTACCCATATAGTTAGAAATGACTATCCTTTTGGATTTATGTAGATATGTGGTGTACGTACTACTGAAAGCGTAGTGCGATTGTAATCGAAATGATACCGAGTTTGACGTTCTGATTGGTCTGTTGCATGAACCAACCAATTAGAGCGCGGAACATGGTAACATTTCAATCTCGCTAAACGTAAAACAAACTCATACTAAGCCCTGAACCTTACAGTACTTTAACAATAGCCTTTATTTCCGAGTTTATGTTATAGTTATTACAGTTACAAATACAATTGTATAGTTTTACATATTTAAATGATATCCCTAAGGTCGGTGTCCCTCTTGGCATAAGTCTCCTCCAACTCCTTCTTTTCGAACTCTACTCTAGTTTGGCCCCAAAGTCAGACAGATGTCATCTTTCCATCGGGTTTTTGGACGTCTCTGCTTCCTTCGTTTGTTCCATTTATCTTGCTTACACCTCAGCATACGATCTGTCCAGTTTCTTTTGACCACGTGACTTAGTGTGGACCTATGTCATACCCATACATTATCATACTTTTCTACTAACGATATCGTTTGTAGAATTGTAATTTGGCTAGCACCGCAGTTCCATTTGAGATAGCCTACCCGTTAAAGTGGTTTACGAAGGAATAAAAAACTGATTTAACAACGTTAAATAGTAAAATACAATGAGACTGTTTTATTTGTTAACTGGAAGGCTGCTTGTACCACTACTTGATGGTAATACAGTAAATTGATTAATAGATTACGACCCTATTCATAAGAACAATGCTTGAGGAAATCCTCCGTGATGAAACATTTAATTGACTTTAGTATGTCGGTACTAATATAAATGTCGGAAAATTATTAAAAGGTACAAGATTTCTTGTTTTTTTTTTTATTTGATGTGCCGACATTTGACCTCTATCTCGCCTTGTGGTAAGCGATGATGCGGTCTACGATGGAGCACGTCATCCCATAAGCAACCTATTCACTCGGGTATTCTTGGTATTATCTAGGTATTCTTTCTTTAAAATGTTGGTTTGCTAAATAAATCATGTTGCATTTCGATTTTTTAATGTGACTTTTTCTTAAAATGTAATAAACGACCAAATGATGAAATGTTACTAAATTCTTAAGTAGTAATTATATATCTGTGATTTTACAAAACAATTGTAGTGTTAACATTTTTTGAGTGCGTCTCAGAATTTTCTCTTTGTTGATATTATAATGGAAGCAAAAATCTAATCTCAAACCAGTGTTTGATTTGCTTCATTTTGCATAGCAGCCGATTACCCAACCAGTCAGTCAGTCGAGATTAGATTTAGGACGTTTATAGGTGATGAGGAAGTGCAAGAAACAGTTAGATTATAGATTAAGTGTGAGAGAGCCATGCTTCGGCACGAATGGGCCGGCTCGACCGGAGTGATACCACGGCCTCACAGAAAACCGACGTGAAACTACGCTTGCATTGTGTTTCGTCGTGTGAGTAAGGTTACCAGAGACTGTACTACAGACTTACAGAGCACTTGTAACGCCTCTGGTGTTCCAGGTGTCCATGGGCGACGCCGATTGCTTACCATCAGGTGACCCGTCTGCTCGTTTACCGGCTTATGCCATAAAAAAAATCAGTTTATCTCTCTTCTATTACAGTCTTTCAGATTACACGGTTCGTTCCGGTTCAGGTTATGAGTTATGAAGGTTACGGGGTCAACACAACGTAACTCGGCAGAGGATAAACAACTTTAATTACATACAGATTACGTTTTAATTTTAATAACAGTATATTAATGAAATACAATAATGAAGCGCAATAGACATTAACAGTTACTATTAATTAAACACTAAGCAAAGTGCATAATGATAAAAGACACGCGAGATGTAGGAAAATACCTATCTGGAGATTTTTATTTATACGATATTCGTTTTTTTATTCATTCATAATAAACATCGAAGACTAAGAATAAGAGTCGTGGCTATTAAGTAATCTGTGGTCGTGGTAGATCGGAAGTTTAAGACGCCCGCTTCTCATGCATGATACTTACCAACGGTGCGGATTTGATACCTACCTACAGCAAGCCAATGGGACTTTTTCCGAGTTATATGTATGTACTCTCCAAGATTATTTGGACTCCACTGACAAACGGTGAAGGAAAACACCATGAGGAAACCTGGACTTATAATTTCTAATCGTAAAATTTATACTTACTCAAATGTGAAGAGTTGAACAGCAGACAGTTCATTAATATAGTTGACGGCACCAGGTACAATAATAGACGCAACCGTTAATAGGCCTGCGATGGTGATCCCTAATTTCGGCCACGTTCTATAGATGCAGAACACCAAGATGGACACCACGAAGAAGTGGAAGTCACATGGAATGTACCACGAAGGTATTATGCACTGAAACAAAGTATATTCAATGAAGTAGACTTAATAATACTATTTTTAAGCAGTTAAGTATTTCTAAATAGTACTTAAAGTAAGCAGAAAGCGATTTTCTTGTTGTGTACAGAAGAATTTTTGGACCAGTTATTATAATCTTCAATACCTGATTCCAGATTACTGAAAGAAAATAGTAACTGGAGGCCCAATAAGCCTCCCCAATCTCCTCAATCCCTGAATCCCCAACGATCCTCAAACTCCTAATCCCCAAAAGGCCAGTAACGCACTTGTAACACCTCTGGTGTTCCAGGTGTCCATGGGCGACGCCGATTGCTTACCATCAGGTGATCCGTCTGCTCGTTTACCGGCTTATGCTATAAAAAAAAGTAACAAAAAAATGTAAATATTTTTTTTTACCTGTGGTTTTCCGAAACATAGATCTACGCGAGATACAATGTGTATCATATTGCATCTTATATACCGGCAGTCAAGAAGATAATTCGACTATTTGAAAATAAAAGTATACTTAGGAATTTCATTTGATTCGTTGTTTCGATTTCGAAAGAAATTGAAATTCTTCGGGAGTATTAAAGAAGAACTCAATCATAATACAATTAATTTAGGTACTTACGAGATTCTCCGGGTCAATGTAATTGTTGACCATGAGAAGATTGAGCCACCAGTTTTTGCGACAGTGCGTAGTATCGGATGCTATGGCCCTGTTCCATAGAGGTCCGGTACCGGTGTAAGGGTGCACAGCACATATATAGAAGATGACCACTGCCAGAGCGACCACCAACCTGTTTGGGTTTTAATTTCAATACAATGTATACATACAGCATAGATATTTACTATACAGGTATGACAATACAGACTTTATTAGCCAAGTGGTCACAAGTGTGACTGGCGGCCAAGGGGTCTCGGGTTCGATTCCCGGGTCGGGCAAAGTATTACTGAGTTTTTTTTAAATTCTCCGTAGTAGCACGGAGTCTAGCATTGTGTCCAGTATGTGGCAGTATGCTCATCCCCCATTGCATAGTGAAAAGTGAGTGTTACATTGTACAGTGGCATAATGTGCACCTCTACCTACCCTTTCGGGGATAAAAGGCGTGATGTTATGATGAAGATCAACTTGCTTACCTAACATATCTCTTCAGAATAATAAGCAGCGGGTTTGGTAGTCTGTTTAACTTCACCAAATTCGTGAATGTGAGGAATCCAGATAGTAAGAAGAATGTATCCACAAATAAATCGTCGTGTAGAATGAGCATACCCAACGTAGTTTTATTCACCTCCTGTTGAAATTACTTAATCTAGACCTATTAATTATTTGAATTCATAAAGCAAACTTAAGCAAAGATTATGTTGAAATTGAATAGAAAATGTTATCAGTTTATAGTGATAGATAGTTCAGAGTTCGGGCATAGTATTGTTAACCCGTCGAGCGTCCGCGTTCCTTATGATCCAACGGGTGCACACGTGACATTTGGAGAAAGAAAGAAAATGCATTTATTTGGCCATTGGCACACGAAAACAAGAAGCATTACAATAGAATTAAAAAATACTGTAAAATAAAAAAAAAAACATTAATAATAGATTTTATAAAAGAAAAAGCAGCATGGAGCATTTTTTCTTATGATCCACCGGGTGCTCATAAGGACGCTCGAGGGGTTAAGTCGACTGTTCAAGTGTTCAGTCTTCAGGCATAGATTAGATTATAGTAGATAGGTCAGGGCTAAGCAGTTTCAAAGCAACTTAGTTTAATGAAGTAAGATCGTTAGTACATACATTAGACCAAGTACATCATATATAGGTGCTTTCGTTATTTTGTATTGACTCAAAAATAGACACCATTATTAAAATGTTAATTTGAAATCTCTCATATTAATTAAATAAATGATTAGAAGACCGTAAAACAACTACCTACACCGTTGTTACAGGCCCCGGTTGAGCTCGAAAACAGTCAGGTGTCCCCGTAAAACAATTACGCGAGTAACATTAGACAAGACAAAATATTTTTTTTTAAATACCGGGTTATTATACCTCATCAGAAGTCAATCCATCACTGATGGGCCCAGCATTGGAGATTCCTATCTGATGGTCCATCACTATCAGACATATAGTGAGAAATCGAATCCCGTAAAACACTTCTACACCTTCCTTCCTCATCCTAAGAAGATCTGAAGCGTTCTCTCTCAAACAGAATGCGTTTATGAAGTCTGGTTCTGAAAATAAAGATTGCGAATAAAATATTCATGACTGTGGTGTACACTACAGTACCTACATTTTACGATGGATAACTAATCCATGAACGCAAGCATAAATAATATTAAAAGAACCGTCTCGTAGTTGCTCCTAAGCGCAAAAAATTGTGAGTCATATTTTTAATGAAGTGTCTAAATTCGACCTAGCCATCGCCAACGTCCATACCATGTTGAAAGCACCGGTTCTCGTCCGATCACCGAAGTTAAGCAACATCGGGCGCGGTTAGTACTTGGATGGGTGACCGCCTGGGAATACCGCGTGACGTTAGCTTTTTGGTGGTGATTTTTGTATTATTTAATTTTCAAAATTTATTAAATTAAAGACAAAATATTTTTTGTAAATCGAAAGTTGGAAATCAGAATTTGGGTTTATTGAAGCTGATTACCTCTTCGTACACACGGCCACACATCAATCTATAAAAAACCACTTTATCCTGGTGTTACGTCGCATCATCTTTTCGCACAGTTAACGTTCAGTTTATACTTTATACTGGTTATGTAAAGCTCGATGTGTAGCCGTTTGTACCTGCATAATGAAATAAAATGTATAAATAAAATTATACCTTACCTCTAGAATCAGAGTTTAGGGATGAGTCTAATTGTACCCTCTGGTAGTTCAAGTACGTGCAAACCAGAGCGATAGCCGTCACTGAACCCATTACGATGCTAAAATAGAACAAGTTTAATTGAAAATAAGTTTTATAAAATAATATACTTAAATTAAACACTAACATTCCTTGCCACGATAGGGTAAAATATATGCGTCATCATTCCTATACCCCGCGCGTGTAACCGATCGTAATCAAAAATCTGGGAAAAAAGGGATCATGACAAAATCTCCAACCAAATAATGCAGCAGTTCTCTATGATAAACCTAAATCTTTAAACCTGCCGTCACCCAACTCTTCTGCTAAGGGTGGATACCCTTCTAGGTAGATGAAGTCTACCGTACCGATAATGATAAAATCGACACGAGAATAGAGATAGTATGACAATAGGCTCACCCCCTATTACATGGGACTCATAACATTAATAGTGAAAAGTGGGTGTTACATTGTACAGTGGCATTAAGTGCCGCAGTGTGCACCTCTGCCTACCCCTCCGGGGATAAAAAGGCGTGATGTTATGTTATGTTATGTTAATAGACATAGTCTGTTGAAAAGCTTATGAACATACACCAAATAATTTAACCTTTACTTACAAAAACGCATAGAACAATGCATCATACTCCAGTTCATCTTCAGCACTTTGACATGGTTCATCGACGCTGATGTCTGCTTTGATTCCAGCAGCTCCAAGATGGCTGCGTGCTAACATAATGCCAAGCAGCCGTTCCACCGTTCTTGGTTGACATGAGGAAGGGACACAAGCACCCCATGTTAACTCGTTCAGGGGACGAGAGTGAGGGACATGATACTGGGAAAGCAAAGAATTAAGATTTTAGACAGGCACAGCTTGGCCAAAAGAGAGTTTGACGCGGTGACAGCTGGAACTTACATTGACTTGGACTGAACCACCCACTACAGACCAAATCCCATGAATAAACGAACATAGTGTTTTCTATTTTTGAACTCGATTAAAATAACGAATATTAAAATCGATTGAGTCGTAGTGTACCAGGTTGCCACAGGTATAATACTAGCGAACTCAATTATTCCTAAGTCTTTTGCCAAGCGGTATAAAAAGATACCATACCTCATAAGAAACAATATCTTAATATAAAAAAATTAAAACGAGATATAGAAAATTGAACTTCTATATGTCTACGTTTTGACATCTATGTCTCTGAAAATCTATGTCTGATTTCAGATTTCTGATTTATGATTTAAGAATTTATTTTTCATAAAAAGAATACAATTCTCTTAAGATATGAGTAAACATGATAACTTAAAATTAAATGAGTATGCGGGCGGTACATTGAATTTTTTTCCATTAAAATATATAATTAATTAAGAATGTGAGTATTACTAAAAATATTAACTTTTAACTACTCTATGTAATATGTTTACATAGATTTCAAACCACAGACGTGTAAAGTTTATGCAGATATTAATTACCTACGTAACTTTTACAAAATGAAATCTTATTTCGACATATTTTAAATAATGTGTTGGTACATAATCAAAACTTGTTCCAAATAAAGAACAAACAAGATTCATAAATAGTTTTATTGTATAAATCGTATCTAATGTATGTATGAAAAAGCTTTATAAAGCATTAACATACAATATGCAATTTATTGTTTTCCTAAGTAAATTGCTGAGAAAATTTAGTTCTTTTTTTAAACCTAGGCATTATTAATTTTAACCTTTAAACTATTTTTATTTGACTTTAGTAAGGATATTGTTTTCTTTTTTCATATTTTAATTTTCCGTGGCGTAGTCTTGGTGGACTGTGTTATTTAATTGTTCATTAATGTCTACAAACTATAGAACATGCGATATAAATGCTTATATTTTTATAGATATGCATCTAGTCGAATAATTAGTCGTATGATAGAAATAAATTGCTAACGTCTTTTGCAACTTAATAGGGGATTTTAAATTGTACTAAATCAATCTTCAAATGGATTGGTTACCTCAACATACTGTTCTAACTAACAGAGTATTAATCTTTTTATGTAGGTTAACCCTGTAATATTATAAATATAATAAACGTAGGTTTTTTTTATTGGATAAGCTGGTAAACAAGCAGACAAATCACCTGATGGTAAGCAATCGGCGACGCTCATGGACACCTCAAACACCAGAGGCGTTACAAGTGTGTTACCGGCCTTTTTGGAAATTGGGAATTTGAGGATTGTGGGGGATTCGGGGATTGGGGAGACTGGGGGGTAGGGTAATTGAGTCTCTGGTAACCTTACTCACACGACGAAACACAATGCAAGCGTAGTTTCACGTCGGTTTTCTGTGAGGCCGCGTTATCGCTCCGGTCAAGACGGCCCTTTCGTGCAGAAGCATGGCTCTTCCACAATTAAAGATTTATTAATGTTCAGTTAGTTAGATAACTGGTTGATAGTTTGAGATTGAATTTAAATTTTGGTTTAAAAAAAAAATAAGAAAAATTTCGTTTTCAGTTCATGTACTAAATATATGATATCATTTTTGGTGACGGTAAAATAAAGATTTTCTCCTATTTTTAAGTGACCTATGTATTTGTCTCACTACCTAATAGGTCCTAATTTATTATTAAGAGGAATTTTTAGTATTAGTGAGAACTCAATACATCTCAGACCTTGATTGGTAGGTGTGCGACGTATTGAGTGACAGGGTTACTTACAATGTAGCACATTATTAGAACCTATTTTGCTTTATTTCAGGTTAACTATTACAAATAAAGAAAACTAACGTAACTAATATTTTACACCTAAAGTTCACAGTGAGATCAGTACATGCATCCAACTTTACTTATGTAGCTACCAGACTGTATGATTTTATTGTCCTTAGGGTTATTTTCTTTTTCGATCTCGTTGACTAGATATTGGTGTTACATTGGTCACACACAACTGAACCAAAAAAATTATGTAACATGTTATACGATTAATTAATCGTATTGTGAACCTGATTGAAAAAGAGTAACCTATGGAGTTTCTCGTTCGTTCTTCTCTATAGGAATCTACACATTAGAATAAGAAAATAGCTTCACTTTAAAATTTTTTGGTCAGAGTCTGGAGTTTTTCCCGGTATATGACAATAGGCTCACCACCTATTACGAGGGACTTATAACATAAATAGTGAAAAGTGGGTGTTGCATTGTACAGTGGCATTAAGTGCAATAATATGCACCTCTGTCTACTCCTTCGGAGATAAAGGCGTGATGGTCTTTCAAAAATCTAGAGATGTTGGACCAAGAAGGGTTAAAAATTCGACAGAACATAAACGTTACATAGTTATTCTCACCTCAATATAATCTAGCGCAGATTGATAAGGATAAGTAGGTCGGTCTACTCGTCTTCTCACAGCCTTATCTGTTCTTTCCAGACGTATCTCAGCGAGGCAGTATTTGGTCTTCAACTCTGGATGGGTCCTCGACCAGGGTGCTTTCATACACTGGTCGAAGTTACCAAGCTGGTAGCGATTGCCAAATAAAAGACCTTGTGGTTCTGATGCTTGGGCGTCCCATTCTGTGTGCAAAAGATGAGGTAAATGAAGGTGTGGACTCTAAATTGGAAGTTTAGAGTGCATGCATAATTTATATGAAGCGGCAAACTTCGTATCACCTAAATATATAGATATATTTCTCACCTTTTAAACCTTCCTCAAAATTCTACGATCATTTCAAGACCAAAATAAGCCAAATCAGTTCAGACGTTCTCAAGTTTTAACGAGACAAATGAATGGAAATTAAGTTATATATATATATATATATTTGCCGAGTGGTTGCAAGTGCGACTGTCGGGCAAGGGGTATCGGGTTTAATTCCTGGATCGGGCAAAGTATTACTAAGTTTTTCAAAAAATCACAGTAGTAGCACGGAGTCTGGAATTGTGCCCGGTATATGGCAGTAGGATCACCCCCTATTACATGGGACTCATAACATAAATAGTGAAAAGTAGGTGTTACATTATACAGTGGCATAATGTACACCTCTGCCTACCCCTTTGGGGATAAATGGCGTGATGTTATGTTCTGTAGAAATGTAGAGGTGTATAATTACGAAAGACTGCAGTATTTATTTTAGGAATATCTTTAGAATATTACGTTTTACTCAGTTTTAATATTAATTGTTATTGATCTTTTTGACCGCTATCACAAAGATGTTCATTTCTCAGGTCATTTTCAGTAGCACGGAGCTACTACTGAAATTGAAACTGAACTAAATAATAGCCTCGATAGATGTTACATGGGATTCATAATATAACAGGAGAATAGTTTTGGTATATTTTTAGTAGTTTTTAACTGATTTTTACTAAGAAGCTTATCACACATACTAAAATTAATTTTATTGTAAATTTAATAACAATTTGTCTGACGAAGGAGACAAATCCTAGACCTTGGGTAATTATTCATTCTTACTTTATAATTGCAATTATGTGCTAAAATTTTTGTATTTTGTTCTAAAAAATAGATAAATAAAAATTTGAAACTTATTTAATAATGTATGTCTAGAATTTGCTCAACGTTTTCATGACTGCGTTTCAATTCAAGAACATTATTAAATTAAAGTGGGAAATGAATTATAAAGTTATATTTTACTTGCAAGCCATAACATTTAATGGGTGACGCCGATTGCTTACTATCAGGTGATCCGTCAGCACGTTCACCGGTTTAAGCCATTTAAAAAAAAACAAAAGAAATCGAAGTAAGATAGTTTTTGATTATTTTAAAATGTAATATTTGTGTTAAAATTTAAAACTAATAATTGTACGTCAACCGTTTGAAACTTAATACCTACTGACCTGAGTCACGAAGAAAACACTAGAATTTGATGGAAATACGTAATTTAAAAAGGATACGTGACATCGGCTGGGGGAGTTTTAAAAGATTTTACTAAGTGTCGAATAAGTATAATTAAGGCTTAAGTTTGTATTGAGATTTACTGCAACAGAAGTTTTTTTAATATAAACGTGTAGGTTGATCAGCAGTCAGTAATATAATAAGTACGACATAAGTAATCATTTTAATCATGCGTATCAGTTACACTATATTATTTACGAACTCTTTAATATCTCATTGTAAAGCTTATACACTTATCAATTTCAATAACCTGTCTATTAATAGATTTGCTTACTAGAAATTTTGATAAAAATAAACGAAACATTCTTTTTTTAAGGCAGGAAAATCATCGAATGACTTATCTTGCCTGGGTGAGGCGGGAGGGAGTGTCAGACTCTTACTGACTAAAAACCACCCCGTTCCTACTCCTGCACTTCGAGCCGGAGCCTCCGTAATCTGATAAGTTCTCCGCGGCTCCGTATCGGCATCAGCCCTATTGAGCCCCATCCGTGGTGGTCTGATGGCTATTTCTATCTATAGATAGATGAGTTATTGAAATTGTCCGTTATACAGGATGTAAAAAGAATGCTCCCGAAAAACGTAGACAGGCGATGGTCAAAAATAAGTTTTATTTTCACTTAAGTAAGGAATTAAATGCTTCTTTTATGTAATAACAGTTGTAATCAAACGGTCGATGTAAAGGCCGATGTTGCATGAATAACATGATAATTGTAAAAACATTTTTGTTGGCGTTTTTCGAGAGCGTTCCGTTTGCACCCTTACATGCAAATTATTTTTAACAGACATTAATATAAAAATAATTGTCAACGCTTACCCCAAACAGCCCAAAGAGTAAAATTCTGCAAGCCAGCGAGCAAACGGTAGATATGATCCAAACACGGCTTTTCTTCTGCAGTCCAGTTCTGATTCTTCATGGCAAATATCACATCATCCAGGTACACACTACTTCCACCATCCCCCACATTTATCGGAGACTCAAGCTTTTTGTCACTTAGATTTTTATTCCCAGAAAATTCTGACGGCAGTCGTGTGGTCGAAACATCTCCTTCGCCCACATTTTTAGCATTAGCAGTCACATTACACTTAGTTTTATTTATAAGTATTATTAAAAATATTATCAATGTGTACTTCATTGTTTACTGTCTGTCATTCAATGAGCTGAAGCTTAGAACTGGCTAGGTTTGCTTATAAAACAATAACATTGCATAATCAATGTCAGGCAATACTTTGTAATTAGTAATTAGTTTCTATTGTGATCACGGCACATCCCATGGAATAAATAAGTAAGTATATGAACTCAAGACACGCCAAAGTATAGGAAAATTATTGTATTTTTTTCTTAGCTTTGTATCAGGTGTACCCAAACGACAGTTCTTTACGATATTATGCGACGCAATACATAAGAACCTCATGCGCTTATGTATTTATCAAAAATCCGTCATTGTGTGAATGTTCTTCATGGTGATAATGGAGCCATTTAGTTTATTTACTTTCGTAAATGTTGAATTTCAGTTGTTTTACACAGAGATGAATCGAGTAGGCACAAAGGTGTTCATTGTCACTTAAAGGTATGTTTTCATGACCACATGCATGACTACATTTCTTTCAATTATATAGTTGAAAAAAAATGACAACACGGTAAGTGCGGTGGCTGGGCAACCGGCTGCCACGCAACGTGTCGCGGGTTCGATTCCCGCATGGAGCAACTCTTTATGTGATCCACAAATTGTTATTCCGGGTATGGGTGTCATGTGTATGTGAACTTTTATGTTTGTAAACGCAACCACGATACAGGAGAAAATCCTAGTGTGGGGCAAAGCTTAAAAAAAAACAAAAAATAAACAGAAGGCTGATGAAGGAAAGTACTGGTACTGTGTAAAGAATAAAAAAACTTTATTCATAATAACAAAAACGCAAAATTCAAAAATATATCTAAATTACGTACAATTGACCTCAAATAGTTAGATGCCTGCACTAGGACAATCCTGTATCGCAGGCGAGAGGAGCTCTAAATATAATCTTTACAATAGCACATCTTATTTCTATAAACACAAATATTTATCAGAATGCAATAGAAAACAATATAATATAATGATTATTTTAATATACATACATTCAAACATACTTACATACAAAACATAACCTCATACCCTATATTCTCAGAAAAGATAGGCAGAGGTGCATATCTAATGGTAATATAATATTATAATATATCTAATAAATATACATACGTAAACAATATAATTATAAATCAGTTCGAAAATAAAACTATTACTATTGCCGAGGAATTAACATGCATCAGCAGAAACATATACTAGGCTAAAGTCCATACGGTCATTCACTTGGTTCTTAATTTCACAATAATAATTGTGCTTATTCAGCAACAGGGCGATGAATCATCATATGTTTGATATATAGGTAGTGTAGTGTAAAGAATGATATTATGTATGAAAAAAATGATATTATGTCTGATAAAATAACGTGTGGTAAATGATAAAATGATGGGAGAATGCTAACGACTGTTTCAGGAAGTTTGCGAGTCGTTTGGTTTAACATCTTTTTAACAACAAAATTAAACGTATAGGCAGAAGATTTTTTTAAATAAAATTCACTAAACCATTTATACTATATCTTATGTAGGTAATTTTATTTATTATATATAAACAACATGTATAGTAATTAACGCACACCCTCAAACACCCCAATTAGAATATTATGTTATAATCATAATACATATACTAAATTTTTAATTTAACATGTATATGCATCCTTACTGGTCTTGTTATAAGGTTTATTTTTCTTTATTTTGTATTGAATGATAGAATTTGTAGGAATACAAATAAAACTGCGATTTTAAAAGTCTTATTGCTTTGACTTACGGTCCATTTCGATTTGTTTTAACAATACAGGGTTAATATGACAAAAATTACCTATACTAAAAATTATATAAATCGATTCAGTTAACTATTCTGAACAAACTATTTTTTTTTTAACTTTAATGTACAGATAAACAAGTAATGGTACATAAGGCCATATGGCATTCTCTCCCAGTCAACCTTTTAAAATCGGGTTTTAAATTAGGGTTAAATTGAAAATGGGCGAAAAAATAGGCATGTAAGAAACAAATTACATAAATAGACTTTAATAAATATAGATAGGTACAAAAAATATTTAAAATGTACACTACAATATAAATACTACATAAATATATAGGTATATATATGCATGCTCATATATATATACTAAATAAATAAATTCTATAATAATACATATAAAATAACAATAGACCTAGACTCCGCGTTGTAGTGACTTTAAAAAGAATTCGTGAACATCGCGTTTGAAAGTGATCTTATTTGGAGCCTTTTTTATGTTAAGCGGTAGTGCGTTCCATAACTTAATTACACTAACTGTGAAAGAGTTAGAAATGAAGGATGTTCGGTGGGACGGAATCTCAAGAAGCAGATTTTCAGCAGAACGGAGATTACGGCTGTGAGAACTGCCCAGAACCTGGAAGCAAGACTTTAGGTATTCAGGAGCACAAGGATAGATCATTCAGAATAGAAGGATCATTCAGAATAGATTGTGGCTTTATAGCTTTTTTCGGTTTACCGAAGCGGCGGAAGTCTTAACGGTAGCACGTAGCTTGAAAACCGTTCCGGTAGAGTCACATGGGACTTATAACATAACTGCCACAAAATGAGTGTTACTGTTGAGAATATTATAGATAGGCGCCATCTGCCGCAAAACTTAAAAGTTGGAGAGACAACATCACCCTTACCTTTGGTATAAAATAGGGTGCGATCACACCCTACATGTGTAGGGTCTTTGTCGGCTTTCGTTTTAAATTCATAGATGGCGTTAACCGCATGATGTTAATTTTATTTCGATTGGGTAACTTTTGTACTCTTTATAAACTACACATCAACAGCGCATAATGTGGAAAGCTCTTATGGCTCGTAGCCCACTGCTGGACCATAAGCCTTAAGAGCTAAGCTCCACGTTTATCAGGTGGACTGGTCGCACTTTAAAAGATTCAGTTTATGAGAGAACGTTGCTTTCCGATCTCTGTCAAATATATAGTGTATATATGGTAGTACTTTACTATACCCGCGGAAAGAGGCGAGGGTTACAAATGTATTCCACTTTGTCATCATCACTTGAGTGACCCTTTATAAAACCAAAATAAAACAAGATTGAAACTTACTCTATCTAGCGCTTATATGCGTATATTTGCTACTCATACATAGGGTAAGATCGCTTATTCACGTCCACCCACCAAAGTTCACCAGTTCGCGTCCACCCACGAGTTTGCATCCATTTTACGGATTGCCATTAATGTTAGATACTGAAATGTCTAAGATGAAATATATGTGTACTAACTACTACTAATTTGGTGGTAGTTTTATTATTTTCGGGAATTTTTATAGCGTTCTTCGTAACATGGACGCAAACTGCATGGTGGACACAAACTGGTGAATTTACCCTATACGAGTAAGTTGTACTAGCTTTCCCCCGATACTTTGTCCGCATGGAATAACGAATTCTGGCAGAATTTGAGGTTTTGAATTGGTCTTATCCAGGTCATATTCTATGGCTGTAGCAAACGTCATCAGAATCGATTCAATAAATAAGTGATTAAAAAAATTTATCAATCTCATAAGGGTTACCTAAGTAAAAAGTTTTTATTGATTCCCCTTTTCTCCCTTGAGTTATTTTAGGAGACTACTTTAAGTTATCTTATTATGTGAACTGAACGGTGAAGCAGCGAAATATTTAGACGACCGACCACTGCGAAACCAATCGGGGCTCGAACCCAAAACCTCGTTCAATAAACATACTAGCAACCACTCAATCAACACGGCAATATGACGTAAATATTTGCGTATGCAAACTCTATGTCTTTGCTACAATAAATAAAAAAACTTAAAGTAGGAAACAAAGAAGCCATTGTGATTTCCATAATTTATTAATTTCTCAATGTCTCATAAATATCTAACTACATACATTCATGGAACTAAATTCTACAATATTTTAAATATTAAATATTTTGACATGCTAAGTACATAGTGCAAGCTACTTATATCTAACATAAGGTACGAGAGTGCAGATTAAATACATTAATTAGTAATATAATAAAATCTTATTACTACAAATATACTATTTAATTTGGATCAATTACTATTGGAATGCTCCTTTCATCATCATCATTTTCATGAACAGCTGAAAATTCGCTGCTAGACTAGCCTTCTTCGTCTTACCCGTGGTAGCCCGGAGGTCTAAGACGCCCGCTTCTCATGCCTGAGAGTGCGTGTTTGAAACCTACCAACGGCAAATAACCAATGTGAGTTTTTCCGAGTTATATGTACTTTCTAAGATATTCAGACACTACTAACAACTGGTGAAGGAAAACATCGTGAAGAAACCAGCATCTGTAGCCAAATGCCATTAAGCGCTTGTCTACATGTAGAATAGAAAACCAAATTATATGGAATTGACGTAAATTTTGACACTTGTCAGTGTCATCCCTATACATATTGATTTCTACTCTCTCTGTAGACAACCGCTGAAGTGGCGTTTGGCTAAAGGCCCTGGGCTTATAGTTTCTAATTAAAAGTTTGAAATCGCCAACCCGCTTTGAGCAACCATGGTAATTAATGCTCAAACCTTCTCTGTGTGTGTTCTTCTTTGCTCAGCAATGGGCATTATAGGCTGTTGATGGTGATGATGATGAGACTAACCTTCATTAATATACCAGAAATCAATGAATTATAATGGAGAATTCCTAATATTAAATACCTATTAAAGTACACTAAAGGACTAAAACAACGCATAGCCAAACGTCTGATGGTACAGAGAAAAGTCGTGTAGATTTCCACAGAGGTACAATAGAGCAAGGGATTTTCAGATTTTTATGGGTTAAAAGCATTATTGATTTGATGGCGTTGTAGTAGTATGAATAGTCAGTCAGACTATTTGATATAGGTACAAGTAAGAGATAAAGATTGACTTACAGACAAAGTTGTCGTTACAGTAAATTGTACGCTATTCAATGAAAAACAAGGATTTATTTTCTTATCTGCATAGCAAATAGGTTGGCTGACCGTATACAATCTTACAATAACACGAGACTTTG